TACTACTACTGCTACTACTACTACTGCTGCTACTACTACTACTGCTACTAAGACTACTATTACTACTACTACTACTACTACCACTGCTACTACTACTACTACTACTGCTACTAATACCACTGCTACTACTACTACTGCTACTACTACTACTACTGCTACTACGACTACTACTACTACTACTACTACTACTGCTGCTGCTGCTGCTGCTACTGCTACTACTACCACTACTACTACTACTACTACTACTACTACTACTACTACTACTACTACTACTGCTGCTACTACTACTACCACTGCTGCTGCTGCTGCTACTACTACTACTACTGCTACTACTACCATGACTACTACAACTGCCCCTGTAATAATAATAATAATAATAATAATAATAATAATAATAATAATAATAATAATAATAATAATAATAACAATAATAATAATAATGTCAGTAATCAAAGTTTGCTTGTGTGTGGCAGGTACGGTGTACTGTGGGGAAATGTCTGGGCAACCTGTACACACAGCGCCTCCTGCCCAAGAGGTCGAAACGAAGCTGCATCAACGGCACCGTGCAGAGGTATGATGCCAGGCAGTGCCAAGAATGATAGTGTAGTGCCGTGGGGAGTGTCAGTACGGTGGTCGTGTCATGGTTGTATGGTGAATATGTGCTTTGGGCATCATTAACAAGGACCCGCGTTTGATTCCCGGACTGGGCGAGTCTGGTTACATCTGCTGCTCCCTCTTCACCTAGCGTTAAGTAGGTACCTGAGTGTTAGTTGACTGGTGGTGGCGTCATCCTGTAGGGGCAGAAATATACCTTAGATGTAATAAAATCATCTGTGAAAAGACGATAGGTTTGTAACCAATCTAATAATTGATGCGAGAGGTGTGTCCGACTACGAGAGACTAATCATAGTTAACCTAACGAAACGAGAAGAAAGGCAAGTTAGATATGGTCATGACGTAGAAGATACACAGAGAAATTGACATTGCGAATGTCGACAATGAAGACTAGGAACAAGGTGACGTGAAATTTGAAAACACAGGGATGCAAGGAAATATTTTTTTTTTTAGTCTCAGGTTTGGCAGGGAAATGACGAGAGCTGTGTTTGAAGCATAAATTCCTTACACAGCTTCAAGATTAGATACGCTACAGATTAAAAGATCCGAAATCAGTAACGAAAGTCGAAGTTTAATAAGTCTTAGAACCGATACCCGATACCTGTCTCACATACACACACACACACATACACACACACACACAAACACACACACACACAAACACACACAAACCACTGAAGTTCTGAAAGTTCAAAATCTTTCAAAAAGTTCACTAAACGCACAATTATTACCTCAAAAACAAATAGCTACAACAAAATTTATCAAAACTCAACTTGAAAGCTGAGGAACTTCACAGCCGCTCTGGTCCTGCTGGCTCGTGTGTGTGTGTGTTTGCCCGCTTTTGTGTGTTTGTGCCTTTGTTTCTTTTATGTTTTTGTGTATTTGAGTGTGTCCAAGTGTTGGTTGTTTTAGCTCTTGATCTTGCTGTGTTTTCTTTTTCTCTGCTTTGTGTGTGAGTGTGTGTGTGTGTGTGTGTGTGTGTGTGTGTGTGTGTGTGTGTGTGTGTTGTGTGTGTGTGTGTGCGTGTGTGTGTGTGTGCGTGTGTGTGTGTGTGTGTGTGTGCGTGTGTGTGTGTGTGTGTGTGTGTGTGTGTGTGCGTGCGTGTGTGTGTGTGTGCGTGTGTGTGTGTGTGTGTGTGTGTGTGTGTGTGTGTGTGTGTGTGCGTGTGTGTGTGTGTGTGTGTGTGTGTGTGTGCGTGTGTGTGGTGTGTGTGTGTGTGTGTGCGTGTGTGTGTGTGTGTGTGCGTGTGTGTGTGTGTGTGTGTGTGTGTGTGTGTGTGTGTGTGTGCGTGTGTGTGTGTGTGTGTGTGTGCGTGTGTGTGTGTGTGTGTGTGTGTGTGTGTGTGCGTGTGTGTGTGTGTGTGTGTGTGTGTGTGTGTGTGTGTGTGTGTGTGTGTGTGTGTGTGTGTGTGTGTGTGTGTGTGTTTGTGTGTACTCACCTAATTGTACTCACCTAATTGTGGTTGCAGGGGTCGAGACTCAGCTCCTGGCCCCGCCTCTTCACTGATCGCTACTGGATCCTCTCTCTCTCTGCTTCCTGAGCTTTGTCATACCTCTTCTTAAAACTATGTATGGTTCCTGCCTCCACTACTTCACTTGCTAGGCTATTCCACTTGCTGACAACTCTATGACTGAAGAAATACTTCCTACGTCCCGTGTGACTCGTCTGAGTCTTCAGCTTCCAGTTGTGACCCCTTGTCCCTGTGTCCCCTCTCTGGAACATCCTATCTCTGTCCACCTTGTCTAATTCCCCGCAGTATCTTGTATGTCGTTATCATGTCTCCCCTGACCCTTCTGTCCTCCAGTGTCGTCAGTCCGATTTCCCTTAACCTTTCCTCGTACGACATTCCTTGAGCTCTGGGACTAGCCTTGTTGCAAACCTTTGT